ATATATATATATATATCCATCCCTGTGACTGTCTTGTAACTGTCAATTTGTACTTCTTAACCCCTTTACCATTTCCACCCAACCTCCCAACCCCCTTCCCATCTGGCAACTATAAGTTTGTTCTCTGTATTTATGCATCTATTTCTGTTTTGTTTGTTTATTTTGGTATTTTTAGATGCCACATATAAGTGAAATTATATGGCACTTGTCTTTCTCTGTCTACTTATTTCATTTAGCATAATATCTTCTAGGTCCATCCATGTTGTGACAAATGGTAAGATTTCATTCTTTTTTATGGCCACGTAATACTGCATTGTATATATGTATTGCATCTTTATCTGATTGTCTGTTGATGGGCACTGAGGTTGCTTCTGTCCATTAGCTGTTGTAAATAATGCTGCAGTGAACATAGGGATGCGTATATCTTTTCAAATTATTATTTTGGATTTCTTCAGATAAATACTTCGAAGAGGTATTGTCTTGCCCCCGTGTTTTTATTTGGGGGCCTGAAATGTTTCTTTAGACTTAAATGAAAAGTCAAGTAATTCACACTGGAGAGAAGCCTTACAAATGTGAAATATGTGGAAAAGCCTTTAATCAGCATTCACATGTTACTAAACATGAGATCATTTATACTGGAGGGAAGCCTTACAAATGTAATTAAGCAATATGGGAAGTTCTTTAATCATCATTCAAATATTACTAAACAGAATTTATAACTGACAGAAGGCTTACAAATGTGGAATATGTGGCAAAGCCTTGTCATCATAAGAAACATTCAAACCTGTAAAGAATTTTTGTGAGCTTGTTTGAACCAAACTGTCAACAGTTCCTGGGAATCAAAATCTCAACGCATTGAGATGATGCTCCGGAGAATGGCAGTTTTGCACCTTATTTTACATTACAATCAAAAGTGAAGATGCAAGTAGGTTACATGAAATCCATTGGTGATAGATTAGAGAGGTGGGAGAAAGCAAAGGCAGGGGGTGGGGGGGACACCTCTGGGATTGGATGAAAAGTAAAATGATAGATACATATATATTTTGCCTAGATGGAGCAGAGAATAGTTAACAGTCAACAATAACATGATAACAGTAACAGTGAGAGGATTTATGATCTTTGGCGTGGTACATTGGTTGTGCCCTGAGGGGTCTGGGAAAAGGAGAGTTACCCAGAAATTCCAAAAGAATGTTATCATAGATTCAAAAGACAATAGACATCAGAGAAGATTCTAGCCTAGGACATAACTACCTGCCATAAACTTCTTTTAGTTAAAACGTTTTCATTTCAGACCATCCTTTGTGGTTACTTTAGGTCTGGCCCTGCCAAGGCCTCACAAAAGAGAAGCCGTTCCAGCCATCACGTTAGGGGTGAGTTAATTAAATGTTTGACCAAATATAACAGGCTAATTTTTAAGTTGATAATTTTGTATGGCCCACAAATGATGATATAAATATCCAAATGGCCCTTAACAGAAAAAAGGTTCCCATGCCTGACTTAGAACATTTATTTAAGTTAGTCACCATAAAGGAGGCGTTTAGAGCAACATTCTTTGCATCAGTGTGAGAGGGGAACATTCTGAATTTTAACTCTTGTTACCAATTGGTCTTTAATGAAAATAATGGGCAGATTATTAAAATTATGATGTATCTTCATAGTAGCCATATATAGGTGTGATGAATATTAGTAGATGTGGTTGAAATAGTCTTCAGAGATATATCTGAGAAAGTATAGATAACTCATCAATTTTTTTTAATATGTTTTTATTGATTTTTGAGAGAGAGGAAGGGAGAGGGAGAGATAGAAACATCAATGATGAGAATCATCCATTGACTGCCTCTTGCACGCCCCCTACTGGGGATGGAGCCCGCAACCCAGGCATGTGCCTGACCAGGAATCAAACCATGATGGCCTGGTCCATGGGTAGACTCAACCACTGAGCCAACACCAGCCAGCTAACTCATTGATTATTGAATAAAATTATTGTACATCCATGTTGATTAATTAGCCTCTATTCTGAAAACCAAAAAACCAACACAGCTCAGATCGTTATATCAGAAGAACAGGAACACCTGAATGTTTGTCATCTGTGTTTTGACAAATAGTCACACAGTAGGTTTGTCATGCTTTATTTAGGCTATGTTTGAACTTTATATTATTTTCATTAATAAAGCTGAATGAATTTGAATGTCAAAAAAAAAATGAGATCTTACCATTTGCAACAGCAGTGGATGGACCTAGAGGGTATTATGCTAAGTGAAATAAGTCAGTCAGATAAGGACAAGTACCATATGATTTCACATGTATGTGGAAACTAATGAACAATATAAACAAACAAACAGATGCATAGATACAGAGAACAGACTGATGGTTTCCAGAGGGGAGGGGTGTTGAGGGACAGGGTAAAAAAGGTGAAGGGATTAAGAAGTACAAATTGTTAGTTATAAAATAGTCATGGGCTGTAAAGTACAGCATAGGGAATATAGTCAATAATATTATAGTAACTATGTATGGTGCCAGGTGGATACTGGACATATTAGGGGGAATACTTTGTGAAGTATATGACTGTGTAACTATGCTGTGTACTTGAAACTAATACAAAATAATATTGAATGTAAACTGTAATTGAAAAATAATTTTTTTTTAATATTAAATAATAATCTTAGCCTGGTTGTCTCCTTCCTTTATGCTGTCTCCTTCTTTGTTGAAGTGTCTGTTCTCTATCATACTCCTCCCTGTTATGCAGTTCTTCGCCTTCCTATTCATTCATCTGAGAAATACTTAATGCACAGTTTGTTTTGGACTTAACTGAAATGGTCATGCAATTTTAGACAGAATATAGAACTGAACAAAAATCCGTCTGCTCCCTGGAGCTGACTGAGTGTTGCAGAAAATGAGATTTCTCTTTTAACCCCTAGGTCCTGGTTGAGCACATTGGAAACCTAGACCGAGCATTTGAGTTTGCAGAGAGATGCAGTGAGCCTGCTGTGTGGAGTCAGCTGGCCCATGCCCAGCTCCAGAAAGACCTGGTGAAGAAAGCCATCAACTCCTACATCAGAGCTATCAACCTTCCCTCTTACCTGAAGAATATCCAGGCAGCCATCAGGAGCAGTAGGTAAACCTCCTCTCCTTGGGGCTCTGCTTCTCACTGGGTGAAGCCCGCCCAGCGAGGGAAGGGTATGGCCCTGCTGGGAATCCGCACGTGCTCTGCACTTAGAGATAGGAAGACACAACTGAGTGAAAGTTTTCTGAGAGAATCTGAGATAAATGTTATTTAGTTAATGACAGTAGCTCTTCAGTTGACTCTTACCCTCTTGTACAGACTAAATTTATTTTAAGCACAGTGGGTATCACTATCACAATTTTAAACCCAGAGTTTCTTCTTGCCATTCTAGTTGGTTGTGGCGACAATTCCTTCAGTGGCTGGAATAAGCACCACATTCCCTATTGAGGTTCCTGTCCCCCAGGGCAGCTCCTTTGGGTTCTGCCTCTTTTCCTTCCCCCACCTAGGTTAGGACTCTGCTCAGCAGTCTGCTTGGCAGGCATGTCCAAGACCTTCTAGATCTTTCCAAGAGCCAGAGCCCACCTGAGGCAGAGCTGATAGGTCAGCATCCTGACTGAGAACAGGTTGGGAGGAACTGAGCCCCTGGTTAAACAGCAGCTCTGGGTTAACATATTTTTAAATACGTTTTTTATTAGTATTCATTTCAGAGAGAGGAAGAGAGAGAGAGAGAAACATCAATGATGAGAGAGTCATTGATCTGCTGCCCCCTGCACGCCCCTACTGGGGATCAAGCCCAAAACCTGAGCATGTGCCCTGACAGGGAATCTAACCATGACCCCCTGGTTAATAGGTCAACACTCAACATCTGAGCCACACCTGCCTGTCTTACCTCTTTTTGTTTTCTATCTTTAGACAATTGGGAAGATCTGGTTAAATTCCTACAGATGGCCACGGGAAAGGGCCACAGTTCCTACACAGAGACAGAACTTATTTTTGCCTTGGCTAAAACTAGCTGTCTCTCTGAGCTAGAAGATTGTGTTAATGGACCCAACAATGTCCACATTCAGCAGGTAGGCCATGCCCCTGGGGAATGTGAATTGTTGTAGGCTGGTTCAGGGATCACTCCCTAGAGTGGCACAGATTTGGGATGGTGAGAAACAAGCCACAAGGGTGATTAAGTCCCTTGTTGAGGCCGCTGGCTATGCAGGTCAGAATGATTTTGCTAGAAAAGGTGTCAGGACTACATGCAAATGCTCTGTTACCCCTGAGAACAAACTGAACTGAGTAACTAGTCAGATGAAAGAGATACGTTAAAAATTAATCATTTTTCCATATGTCAGCAATTATCAGATAACATAATGGGGGAAAATTCCTTTTTATGTAGGAATAAAATCAAGTGTTTTTTAAAAACCTTAAATGAAAGATCTAAATAATTATAAAGTTTGCCATTTCCAGGGTTAAAATGTTACGCCTGGGAAAAGTGATAGAGATGAAGGGGTAATGGAATATATTCTAACTCTACAGTAATTGCATGTGTGCTCTTCTTGACAGAACACACTCACTTCATTGAAATAAATAACAAGTGGACTTTGGATATTTGTATTTCAAAGTAAGTTTCAGTTAACTGTTGGAATTAGGTGACAGTTTTGAAAGGGGTAAAAAGTTTATCACATAATTTTGTAAACAAAATTAAATTCTAGATGAAATATTTAAAATTTTTAAATATTTATTTAATCTTCGTGTGAGGAAGGAGTTTGTAAGCATATAAGCAGTGGAAGAAAGCACAAGGGAAAGTAATTTACTGCATTCACATAATGCATAAAACTTTTAAGTATATATGTGCAGTAATTCCCCCCCTTATCTGTGATTTCGCTTTCCACAGTTTCAGTTACCCATGGTCAACTGTGGTTCCAAAATATTAAATAGAAAATTCCAGAAATAAACTATTCATAAGGTTTTTTTGTTTTGTTTATTATTATTATTATTTTTTACCAGTGTTGGAAACAATCTAAGTCATGGCACTATTATGTTGTGAGCAGTGGGAACAGCACTGGGTGTTAGTCCAGTGGGGTCAGACCAGACTTGGGTTCAGCAACCTCGGTACTTGGGTTCTAGCTTGGAAAGAATTCAGAGCCAAGACCCAAACTGTAAGAGAACATTTATTTCGTTAACCACAGAGGTAGAAAAAGTAATTCCTAGAAGAAATGGGCTTAGGAAACAAGTTATAGAGGCAGAGGAAGGGCCCTTGGTGCTTGGGAATGAGGAAGCTAATGGAAACATGACTGGTGGTGGCGGGGGGCGCAGGAGTGCTCCCAGGAGAGAGAGCCTAATTCATAAGTTTTATATTGTGCTCAATTCTGAGCACCTCACCTCATCACATAGGCATTGTATCGTTTCACATTATCAAAAGAAGAAAAGTGGGTACAGTACAAGATATTTGAGAGAGACCATATTTACATAACATTTATTAGAGTATATTGTTATAATTGTTCTATTTTATTAGTAGTTACTAATCTCTTACTGTGCCTAATTTATAAATTAAACTTTATTATAGATATGTATATATAGGGGAAAACATAGCATATATAGATTTCAGTACTGTCCATGGTTTCAGGCATCCGCTGGGGGTCTTGGACATATCCCCCATGGATAAAAAGGAACTACTGTATTCCTTATCCTGGGCTTCCTCAGTCTAGATGTAAAAATACATCCCAAGAAAGTAGAAAAGGTCCAGATAGCTTTATATAAAGATATTTAATCATTTCAGTATGACTTATACTAATAAAAATTGAAAGCCAATGTCCAACAAAAGGAAATAAACAGCATTCATCAATGGAATATAATATAGCCATTACAAATACTTATTTGTGATAGAAAAACCTTTCAGAGTAAGTTTCAGCAGAGTGAAAACCTGCACGTACAATATAATGAACATATAAACCTAGAAAAACGCCCAAGATAGGGACAGTGAAAACTTTGAGATATGAAATTGGGCAATATCATACTATTTTCCTTTTACTTGCCTGAGTTAGCCAAGTTCTTTTTTCAATCAGTGAGCACACTTTTAAAATTAACTTTATAATGAAAACATTAATGTTAGAAAATGAAACCTTGCCCCAAATCTCCCTCTGAATTCAGAACAGGACTCTCCTGATGGGAGAGAGGATTAAATACAGAGCTGCCCTGGATTATGCAAGTTAAATCCCACCTGAGACTGGGCGGACTGGGAAGCGCAGACAGCTTGTCTTGTTCTTCCCCAGGCAGGTGGCACACCGAGCGAGGCCTGGCCTGCTCCCAACCTCCTACAGTCCTCCAGGGTCAGCACATTTCAGCCAGATGCAGTCCGCCGCTTGTTTGTATGTTTCCCACAGTCTGGCTTCTGTTGACTGCAGCTCCATGCTGTCATTCATTTTCCCTGTGTTTCCTGTCAATTCTTTGTATATCCTTTGATACAATACTTTATCTATTCAACAAACTTTCATCAAGCATCTAGCTTGTGCCAGGATAGGGGCTGTGGATGCACAAGTGAAAATAGTAGTCAAATTTTTGCCCACTCAAGAAGTCTAGCCCTGTCCAGTTTGGCTCAGTGATTAGAGCATCCATCCACAGACTAAAAGGTTCTCGGGTGTGATTCAAGCCAAGGGCACGCACGTACCTCAGTTACAGGCTCGATCCCCAGCCCTGGTCGGTGCTCAAGTGGGAGGCAACCAGTCAATGTGTCTCTCTCACATCAATATTTCTGTCTCTCTCTCTCTCCCCCTCTTCCACACTCTCTAAAAACCAATGGAAAAAATACCCTCGGGTGAGGATTAAAAAATAAATAAATAAAATCAATTCATGTTACCAAGGATGAATATTCTAAAAAAAAAAAAAAGAAATCTATAGTGTGTTAGGTGTACGTGTAAAGGAGTAAAGTGCAGCAGGGAGGGGTAGGCAGAGCCACAGCGAGCAATGAGTGTGAAGGTGAGCAGTGCCATTCCAGACAGCACGGTGGGGAAGGTGTCCCAGAGGGGAGTGCTTGAGTCTGCATCTCTCCAAGAGCAGAGGACCAACAGTGCCAGGGCCCTGGGAAGAGGGAGTGTTTGGGTAGGTTGCAGGAGCAGTACTGAGGTGGCCAAACTCCAGAGAGCTTGGAGTTGAAGCCAAAGAGGGAACTGTGGGGAGAGGCGGGTGTTGGCACTGGAATCTAGAGGATAAATCTCTGTTGTCAACATATAGCCTTCAGAAGTTATTTGGATTGAAAGACTTGCATTCATGCAGTTAATTCTTTTCCCAGCAGTTATTTGTGAGTTTCACTCTCCCTAAACATAGTGTGGCAGCACTCTCTTGGCACCTACATTGCTTTCTATCAAGATTTAGGGAATTAAAAACACCTAAATTAAAATCACATTCAAAATACTTGTTTCTGCCTTTGAGCAGTGGCTTGGCACCACCCCTCGGTTTGGATCCATGTCCAGGCATCTGCTGCTCAGGGTGTGCTGCTGAAGAGTTCCCAGGCCCGCAAGGCATTGCCATCGCTCTACCTGGCGTGTCCCAGTGGGGTAAAGTGCAGTTACCCAACAAGGCCTTTGTGTAATATGCTGCATGGCTGAGCTGATTTCACAGGGTTCCGTGTCTCAGGAGCCCCTAGGAGCCGAGAGCTTGAACTAATGGTGTTACTCCCAGAGCTGTCCTCAGCACTCCTGAGGACCTTCCTGGAACACAGATAGCTGCCACCCTCTGCCCAGCACAGGCACCGCCCTCTTACAGCACATGGGCTGATGCCAAAGACCCTTAACATCAGGGCACATTGAGCTGCTCCCCAAGTTGTCACCTCCAGTTTGGGACTGTTATGTGACCTCTTCCTCGCCCTTAGTGACAGTGCTTGTGGTCCTTCCTGGGATGCTGACAGGGCCCCTGTAGAGGGCTAAGAGGAAATGTTGTAGAAGCTTTGGAACCTCACGTCAAGGGGTTGAGGTGCTGGCCCTGGAAGGTGGCAGCGGGGCTCTGACACACCAGAGGGAAACTGCCCCCACTAAAAGGGTCACAGCTGCTCTGTCCTGCTAGTGGTATGCCAAGGTCTTAAATGCACAGGCTCCTCACAAATGGGGGCAGGAAGTGAGTGAGAAAACGATGCTGTGAGCACTGCCAGAGGGGGGTGTCTGTTCTCCTCCAACATTAGTGCCACTCAGGGCAGTGTGTGCCAGGAAGAGAGCCCAGGAGAGCAAAGCCACAGGCAGAAAGTGGTTAGCATACTTTGCAGCACAGTGGTTCTCAGCCAGGGATGATTTTGACCCCCAGAGGACATTTGGTTGTCACACCTGAGAGTGCTGCAGTGCTACGTCTAGTAGTTGGAGACAGGGGTGGTAGTGCTAAAGAGCCCACAATGCACAGCAGGTGTCAGCAGTGCCCTG